AAAAAGTCAATAAATCTCAAAATTTGGAATTGAATCTATAATAATTTTAATTATTAAGCTATTAGACATTGTAATGTATGCGACTTTACAAAGTTTACATTTGTGGTTGGTAGCATTTGTTTTTGGGTTTGTTTTCCTTTTTCTGTGTGATGACCCACGTTTAAATTTACTCACCTGGGGCATTTTCATCCTGAAAATGGTGCGCACTTTTTCCTGCTGTCTGGGTTGATTGGCATGCTTCCTTGAGAACAAAACAGCAACAGGCTTTTTACTTTTGTCTCTTTCGGTAGGTGCGTCGGGAGTGGCGTGTAAATATTTGACAAGGCACTGCACACAGACGACAAGCTTCCATATCTTGTGTATTATAAGAGTGGTCTTTAATGTACCGCCATTTCCGTACAAATAAATGTTTTGCTACATTATTTCAGGCCTGGACAAAAGGCACACCTGTGATCGGTTGTCTTGTTTGTACAGGTGCAGCTTGTGTAAGGCCTGCTCATTTCCTCCACTCGGAGCGTTGCAGCTGAAATGTGAAGGTGGCTTTAAGCTTTTGTTTGCTGTTTCTCATATGTGAAACGTACAGAAAGACTGGGATTCAAATCTCTCGGAAAGTATAAATATACATCCTTTCTTCTGGGGATTTATGAGTGCTTACTGTTAAACTTTACTCTGCCCTCTATTCAGGTTGTTTAGGGAGAAGAGTAATCTTTAATCAAAAAGAAATTAAATGACAGAGAGGTCTGAGGTAACTTTGGGTGGAGAACCTGCACCACCTCAATCCTTTTCTTTCTACAGAGAAAACTGATGCAGCTCAATTTGAATATTTAGACAGAGCTGTTGAAATTATCAAAAAGTCCACGAACCTGGCCGTAGTCTCAGCATGTAGTCTCATTATTTAGATCTTACATACAAATAAAGTAAGGAAATCCCTGTAGACCGCCAACCCTGCCCCCTAAAAAAAATAAAAAAATCATTTGGTCAGATAAACGGGGGATGTGTAGATTTTCATTCAAATAAGTCACTTGTCCTATAGTCTAGCCCTCATTCACATGGATGCATTGGGTGCAGCACAGGACTCAGTATCTTGTCCAAGGACACTTCGAGATGGGATAGAGCCACCGACCACCTGAGCCGCCATCTTTGCTTTACAGCAAGCTCACGAGGAAACACTTGATACATTTTGTGCTGCTGCTGCAATATTGCGCTCTGGCTTTTGTACTTATCTTTGTTACATAGACAAACAGCAAAACGTTAGCGCCACCTTTAAGTTCATAGATACAACAAATTGCCATTTTGGAAACCTTTTCTTCTGACACCTCTTTGTCAAACATCTATGAGGTATTATGCTCACCAGGCAAGAAAAGCACATTGGCTCTTTTTCTCTCTGATTAAGCAGACATGATGCCCTGTGCATGTAGCTAACAGCTTCTCTACACTACATTGTAGCATGTTATATTTACTGATGACATTCCAAACAGGACTAAAAAAAGAATAATGGATCATTTCTATACAGCCTGTGTTGATTGAGTAATTCACTCTTCTGAAAATTTGTTGTGTTTTGTAATCTCATCTAATTTTTGGAATTTCTGTTAAAATTCCTTAGGTGCACAATGATGTAGCATTACAATGCTTTCTTTTTTATCCATGATAGACTGTTATATGATTGCCAACTATAATTTAATCTCAGTATCCACTGGTAT